AAGTGAGTCCGTGTTTGCAGCTCGACGACTCGTGGGTTTAGCTGTAAAAAAAACAAAACAAAAACAAAGCGATGTTCCTCCGCTGTGTCTAAACTCAGAGTTGTTGACAGAGTAAACAGACGGAGTAAACAAAGAAAACCAGGTCTAGACCAGGACTGACCAGGACTAAACCAGGACTGAACCAGGACTAAACCAGGACTGAACCAGGACTAAACCAGGACTAAACCAGGACTGAACTAGGTCTAAACCAGGACTGAACTAGGTCTAAACCAGGACTGAACTAGGTCTAAACCAGGACTTAATCAGGTCTAAACCAGGACTAAACCAGGACTGAACCAGGACTGAACCAGGTCTAAACCAGGACTAAACCAGGACTAAACCAGGACTGAACCAGGACTGAACCAGGTCTAAACCAGGACTGAACTAGGTCTAAACCAGGACTGAACTAGGTCTAAACCAGGACTGAACATGGTCTAAACCAGGACTGAACTAGGTCTAAACCAGGACTAAATCAGGTCTAAACCAGGACTAAACCAGGACTAAACCAGGACTAAACCAGGACTAAACCAGGTCTAAACCAGGACTAAACCAGGACTAAACCAGGTCTAAACCAGGACTAAAACAGGTTAAACCAGGACTAAACCAGGACTAAACCAGGACTGAACCAGGTCTAAACCAGGACTAAAGCAGGTCTAAACCAGGACTGAACCAGGACTAAACCAGGACTAAACCAGGTCTAAACCAGGACTGAACCAGGACTAAACCAGGACTAAACATGGTCTAAACCAGGACTAAACCAGGTCTAAACCAGGACTAAACCAGGACTGAACTGTAAAAAAAAACAAAGCGATGTCCCTCCGCTGTGTCTAAACTCAGAGTTGTTGACAGAGTAAACACGGATAAACAAAGAAAACCAGGACTAAACCAGGACTACACCAGGACTACACCAGGACTGAAGTAGGTCTAAACCAGGTCTAAACCAGGACTAAACCAGGACTGAACTGTAAAAAAACCAAAGCGATGTCCCTCCGCTGTGTCTAAACTCAGAGTTGTTGACAGAGTAAACAGACGGAGTAAACAAAGAATTAAACATGTTTGCCGACTGTTCCTTGTGATGTTTCTCTGGTTTATACTCGGGCTGTTAACACACAAACACTAGAGCCTCTTCCTCTGATCTTTCTCTTTCTTGTCGTCTTTTTTTCTGACGTGTTTTGCAATTACGCTTTGATAAACTTCGTTCCGTTTCAGGACACGTCGGATCGAGTAGATAAAAGCAAAAAAATAAAAGCTTTAAAGAAGGTTTGAACTGTTAACTCAACATATTTAGATCATCATGTTGCCTTTTATTGTCCACGTTTACACGATGTTTGTTTAAATTCTGAATTAAATCATTTGGAATTAAAATATTCTCCTTCGAGTTCGGATGGAAATACTGAATCCAAATTGAGGTTGACATGGAAACGTGTTAATCTGTGTGTCATACGTTCATTTGTTTTTCAAAAAAAAAAAAAAAAAAAAAAAAGAAAATGTAAAAACTATTATTTTCTTCATTATTTGTCTCCAAAACCAAAATGAGAAAAATAAAATAAAATAAAATAAAATGAAGGATAATGATTTGTTTTTGATCTTGTGTTTACCTGAATAATGGAAAAAAACGGATAATGACCGTTTCCTGTTTAAAATGTGATGCTGGACTAAACCAGGACTAAACCAGGACTAAACCAGGACTAAACCAGGACTAAACCAGGACTAAACCAGGTCTAAACCAGGACTAAACCAGGACTAAACCAGGTCTAAACCAGGACTAAACCAGGACTAAACCAGGACTAAACCAGGACTAAACCAGGACTAAACCAGGACTAAACCAGGTCTAAACCAGGACTCTAAACCAGGACTAAACCAGGACTAAACCAGGACTAAACCAGGACTGAACCAGGACTGAACCAGGACTGAACCAGGACTGAACCAGGTCTAAACCAGGACTAAACCAGGACTAAACCAGGACTGAACCAGGACTGAACCAGGACTGAACCAGGTCTAAACCAGGTCTAAACCAGGACTAAACCAGGACTAAACCAGGTCTAAACCAGGACTAAACCAGGACTGAACCAGGACTAAACCAGGTCTAAACCAGGTCTAAACCAGGACTAAACCAGGACCGAACCAGGACTGAACCAGGTCTAAACCAGGACTAAACCAGGTCTAAACCAGGACTGAGTGTCGGGACGGATCTGGAGGTGCGCCTGCATAGACTGTCAGGAGATCAGGACTGAGACCGGGACGGAGACCGGGACTGAAACCAGCCCCAGACCGGGACTGGGACAGGGACTAAGACTGGGACCAGACCATAACTGAGACCAGAACTAAGACCGGGACTGAGGCCGGGACCAGACCCAGATCGGGACTAAGACTGGGACAAGATCAGGACTGAGATGGGGACTGCGACCAGGACCCGACTAGGACCCGACTAGGACCCGACCAGGACCCGACTAGGACCCGACTAGGACCCGACTAGGACCCGACTAGGACCCGACTGGTCCTGGAATCATTATCCGTTTTTTCATTTTGG